CAGTGCTTTTTAAAACGCCCGCAGGCCACACAAAACGGCTTGGTGGGCCGCATTTGGCCCCCGGGCCTTAGTTTGAGTACGCATCAAGAAATAACTATTTGTTTTCGAAGGAAGAAATCCTTCACTTTGAAAAATGTAAATGAAAGTAAAACATGTTTTTCTCCAATATTTAAAGTAAAGCACACTAATTTTTAAGGGGCGCAGGACACAACTCTCCAGTCGTTTTGCGCTCAACAGCTCTAATGTCTTTGTGCCAACAGCAGCGAATGAGCAACGCAAAAGCATCCTGCGGCTGAGGCGCCGATTTCTGAAGGACCAGGAGAAAGTCAGCGTGAATTTCGCACGAAGGGAAATCCAGCAACAGAAACAGAAAAAGGTTGGAAATGGTTCCACAACCGACGTGGTGTATCCGCTTTTGGACCGTTCCGACCGATCGTTTGCCGTTGATCATCAGTGGAATTGTTGAATGTCCTACAGGAAGACAATTTGGATCAAAGGCTGCGGAAAGAAGCTCAGGTGACTCTGTACCGGAGCTACAGAGTGGGAGACTTTCCAGATATCCAGATCCCGTACAACAGCCTCATTACTCCGCTACAGGCACTCGCCCAGGTGACCGTATACCACCTCTGCTTTCCGTGTGCAGCCCTTTTAGACTAGACGAGAGCTGTTTCAGCACTCACTTTAATGTTTTTGTTTTTTTTTTTATTCTCCCCACAGAGAGACCCAATTTTAGCCAAGCAGCTCTTCAGCTCCCTGTTTGCCGGAATCCTTGAGGAGATGGAAAAAGGCAAAGTGAGGGAAAGTTCAAGAATCAAAGACGAGCTACGCTTGAACCTGAACACCATTCTGAGCAAGAGTACGCTCTGTTTCCCGCCGTTTGTAGCTTGTGTGCAGGTATGAGCCGAGAAATGAAAAATACTCCAACTAAACTAGAAAAAGTACACACACGGGGGTGTCGGTACACTAAATATAATAATCCTCCTGTTTCACTTTACGTAGAATTTACGAACTCAATGTAAAACGTGGGCCTGTTTAGTTGAACGTAGTGCTGATATCGTCACAGGAATTGAAGAAAGAAGAAACAACTCAACAAGTCTTTCTGAGCTGAGATTTCCTGTATTTGTATTGTAGCCTTTTGCCGCCACCTAGAGGAAGAGTATTTAATTGTTCTGCCTCTCACATTCTGGCACATAGACAAATCCGCAGTAAATTAATAACAGTCAGACCAATTAAGTTTCCACGATCTCTCACAGTACGCTAGCGTGCCGCGTCACAGTGGTCCGGGAATCGCTGCGTCAGGTTCACTGTCTCGCGGTAATCATTGACGCTGTTCTTCTACACACTGATTTGACGTAGACTTTCTCTCTTGCATATCCGAAGGACATTTGCCACCAGCAGCCAGAGCTTCAGCAGCTTGATCCGGCCACCATCAGCTCCACCTCCCTCATGAGCCTCCAGCAGCCGTCGGGGATCTTGTTACTGGAGGAGAGCCTGCTTCACTCCACCGTCCAGGATGAGCCTCCCAGCAAACGCGCACGCGGGCGCAGGGAAAACCCACCAGACACCAATAAGTGGATTCACCTTGCCAGGTACATACACTGGGGGAAAAAATTTCCCAGAGGTCCCTGGGGTTTTGTAGGGACCCACTTTGAGAACCACTGACCTTAGGCATTATTAACTATACCCATACATATACTGATGAGTGAGTGATAAAGGGAGACTTGCTCCAGGCAGTTATGCTAACACCGTCATCACGTGTCCATGTGCATCTCCTCCTCACTCCAGGCTATACAGGTCCTTGGAGGATTACGATGTCGTGCGAGGAATCTTCGGCGGGAAAGTTGGGACCAAGTCGATCACCTGTGATGCCCTCCAAGCTGAAGCCAACACTGACTTTGCAGAAGCTGTGAAGCTTTATAACGAGGTAGCGTTTACAAGACGTTGGAATGAGAAAAATGAAAAATGCATTAGCCCGAATTTCCCAATCTCGTAAAGATCCATCCATCCATCTCCCCATCCATCCATCCATATATTTATCCACCCATCCATCTGTCCATCCATATATCCATCCATCCATCCATCCGTCCATCCATCTATCATCCATCCATATATCCATCCATCTATCATCCATCCATCCATATATCAATCCATCCATCTATCATCCATCCATCCATATATCAATCCATCCATCTATCATCCATCCATCCATATATCAATCCATCCATCTATCATCCATCCATCCATATATCAATCCATCCATCTATCATCCATCCATCCGTCCATCCATATATCATCCATCCATCTATCCATCCATCCATCCATATATCAATCCATCCATCCAGCTATCCGTCCATCCATCTATCCATCCATCTATCCATCTATCCATCCATCCGTCCATCCATCCATCTGTCCATCCATCTCTCCATCCATCTATATCTATCTATATATACACAGCATAATGTTATATATCCCAAGATTCTCTCAGTTACATTCCCAGAATTACATATTTTTAAAAAGAATATTTACATAAAACTCAGGGATGTGGTTTGTGTATTACATTTTCTATCGTCCAAGCTAGTTTTTGCAAACCGTTTTCCTCACTGTCAGGCGATCAACACCGAGGACTGGGCCGACGGGGAGCCCACTAACGCCGAGAGGGACTTCTGGGAAATCGCCGCCATGGAGGCCTACAGTCATCTGACGGAGTGGAAGTCTCTCCAGTACTGCTCCACCGTGTCCATCGATGAAAACACGCCACCCAGCCTGGAGAAGATGTGGTCAGAGCCTCTTTACCAGGTGACACACGCGGAAATGATATCCTGACTTATTATTAGGCGTACATCGGTCTTTGAATTCCCTGTGGTTTTGACACTTTGTCTTGTCATTCTGTGTCAGGAAATGTACCTGCAGCACATGATTCGCAGCATGTTGAAGCAGCTGCAGCAGGGGGAACGAGACCAGAGCCTCCTCTCGTTCATCGACCAGGCCATGAAGGTGGAGGAGCACAAGAAGCTGCTGGAGAGCCACTACAGCCAGGAGCTCAGCCTGCTCTACATCCTGCAGGAGGACTTCGACCGCGCCAAGTATTACATCAAGCGCGCCATGGAGCTTTTCATCGAGGTCCGAGTTTTTTTTTTTTTTTTCTTCTTCAGAACTTTATCTTTCACTCTGGTCACGAATGTTCACCCCGTCTTGTCTTCCCACAGAGTTACTCCAGTGTGGACACGCTGCTCACTCAAAGTCGGCTCACCGTCCTTCAGTCAGTGCAGTCCTTAATAGAGATCCAGGACTTCCTGCACTTCATTACAGGGGAGGGTGTGTTTAAAAAAAAATCCTTTTTGTTGTGGAAAATCTTCATTCTTTGACTTTATTTTTATACCAAATTTTTTTTTTTAATTTTTTTTTTTTAATTTTACTCCCCAGTGTCCGTGACCGGTGTAAAACGGCTCACCAGATCATGGACTGAGCGCTATCCTGATGCTAAAGTCGATCCACTCAGTGTGTGGGATGATATCATTACATCTCGGTGAGATAAACAATCCTTTTTTTTAAATTTTTTTTTTTTTTTAATTTACAAATCTGAATTCCACCACCTGACACGATCTCAAATTAATCTTCCTCGCAGATGCTTCTTCTTGGACAAGATTAGGGAAAAGCTCAGAGGCCACGCTCCCCTCCCTGACAGTATGGAGGTGGACAGTGGTGAGGACCCGGCGAGTGGAGTGGAAACCCTGATAAATGACTGCAAGTTCAACATGAAGCTACAGATGGCCAACAGTGCGCAGAAGCAGGTGAGAGAAAACCTCAGACAAATCAGAACTCTCCTTTACTGACGCCATTTTGGATTTTTTTTTTTTTTTAACTTTGTCCTGATCCTAGAATAACTTTGCCGTTGCAACCAAGCTGCTGAAAGAACTCCACAAAGAAGCCAAGGCCGATAGAAGCCTGTTCATGCCCTGGGTCCACAGCTTTAGCCGCTACAGCCACAAACGCAGCCACACCCAGGGCCCTGTGGAGCAAATCAGTAGCATCCTGAAGACCGTTCCACTCCTGGGTGAGACAGAAGTTTGAAATATGAAGTTAAAGCTCTAAGTCACGAGTCGCCAACCATATTTGTCAGGAGCGACAGAATGTTCTAGACAGACACCTTGGGGGTAGTATGCTCAAATAAAATTAAATAAAAATCGAAATTTCTGTCTAACAGAATGTAAATAGACTTACAGGATTACTGATAGTTATTTAATCCGCGGACCGGATTGGACAGACTGGTGTGCCAGATTTGGCCCACGGACCGCCAGTTGATAATCATTTCTCTACAGTTTAACTGACAGAGGAGTTACCAGTGTGTACAGTGTGAAACAAACAAGAACATTTTTTTTCAATTTTTTAATCTTCTTCTTGCAGCTTCAAAAATGTAAATTTACAGTGGGCCAAAATTCAGAACTTGAAAAAACAAAACTACACTGCAGGCCAGATTTGGGCCCCCGAGCCTTAGTTTGACACATATACCCTACAGACCTGCACTTTCAGTTTGTATCTTTAAGTGTTTTTGTTCTCTCTGCAGAGGACCTTCAGTCAGAGTGTCAGAGGGCCACAGCTAAAACGTTCAGAAACCAGAAGATCCTCCAGGGAACATCCTTCAACATACTGGCCAAAGCTGTGAGCAGCAGCCCCTCCATCCTGGGAACCATCGACCCTCAGAAAGCAGAGACGGTCGTGAGGCTGGCCGGCTGTGCCTGGCCTGCTCGAAATCCAAAGGTATTTATCGCATGGATTTATCACCTCATTTGGTGACGGTTTTTAGTGACACCGTTTACGCTGCAGGAAGTTGAAGTGGGGCTGCAGGTACGAGCTCTGAAGCTCATCTGCGAGGCAACCGGAAAGGCTGAAGAAGAGTTGCAGTCTTACACTCGGGACTGCGTGGAAAGCAGCAGCATCACTGAGACGTACATGGCTTTGGCAAACTTCTGTGACGAGCTGCTGAGAGACGCGGAGCAGAGTGATGACGGTGAGCGACCTGTTGGCTGGTGAACGCTACATCGCTAAGCTAATTAAATAAAAGCAAATTCCCTTTTCTACTTTTTCTGATTTTTTTTTTCTTTTTTTTTGCTTTGTTACAGAAAGCCAGTTTCCTGATCTTCTGGCTCTACCTGTACACGTAGTGGACTGTTTGCTAAAATCCCTGAAGATGAACTCCGAGGAAGCGCGCCTCAAGTTCCCACGTCTGCTGCAGATCATACACCTGTACCCGTCCGAAACCCTTGACCTCATGACGAAGGAGGTTCGTGTTTCCAGGCTGAGGTGTAAAAAAAAAAGGAAAAACACTTGAGCCACAGAACATATTTCACATTAGTGGTTCCCTAGTGCAGCGGTCAGCACGCCTGCCTTACAAGCAGAGAGTCCTACGTTCGATTCCCAGGGGAATCACATTCTTGGATAGATCTTTTCCCAAGTATAGGATCAATGAAGTTCATTTCTTCTCAATTTACTCCTTACTCAGAGTAAAAACTGGGCCTGTTTAGTTAAACACAACACAGCTACTGTCTACTCGCAGGAATTAAAGAAAGACACAGAGAGATTTAAATACTCGCAGGAATTAAAGAAAGACACATACAAAGATTTAGAGAGATTTAGACTTAGACTAGAGAGAAATAACACATTTTCGCGACACATTTGTGCGTAGATTTAAAGCGAGTGTGTTTTTTACTTAGATGACATCGGTGCCCTGCTGGATGCTGATTGGCTGGATCAGTCAAATGGTCGCTCTTTTGGACAAGCCAGAAGCCGTGGCCTTGCAACACAGCATTGGGCAGATAGCAGAGAGTTACCCCCAAGCTCTGGTTTACGCCCTCATGATCAGCACGGAGAGTTTCCAGTTTGAGGACACGGCCACAGGACACCAGCAGAGGGAGTTCGTGGACAGGTAACCTTCGTATTGTTCCCGTTTCACGTCATCAAATAAACCGCGTTAAGACGTGTCGTTTTAGTGCGCGTCGTTTCTGTGCAACTAGGCTCAGGAGCGTGCTCGATAAGGCAGGAGCTGTGAGGAAATTCGTGGATGCGCTGCAGCAACTCACCAACCCCGAGATGATTTTTAGGGTAAAAAGTCTAGCCGTGAATAACCGCAGTGGCCTGCGGCCGTGTTCTGCCCGTCATTCGGAGTGTCATTGATTTCACGCAGGACTGGTGGGATTACGTGAAAAACCAAATGGACAAACCAGGTTTTGACAAGAAGCAGATGGAGCGCATGTACGATGAGATGCGAACCTCGCTGGGGGACGACGCGGTCGGACATGGAGCGTTTCGCAAGAAATTTATCCAGGTTTGAAGGGACAGGTTGCTGTTAATATTATGTTATTATTTCCTGTTTATTTATTTAACAGTCTAAATTATATGTACAATGGTTGATTTTAGTTTTATTGTAAAAGTTAGCATTAGCTCAGTGGAGCATTACCCTAAAGCAGTACTTCTCAAATAGTGGGGCGGGCCCTCCTGGGGGGGCGGGGGGGGTGCGGTATACTCGCAGGAATTAAAGAAAGACACATACAAAGATTTAGAGAGATTTAGACTTAGACTAGAGAGAAATAACACATTTTCGCGACACATTTGTGCGTAGATTTAAAGCTAGTGTGTTTTTTACTTAGATGACATCGGTGCCCTGCTGGATGCTGATTGGCTGGATCAGTCAAATGGTCGCTCTTTTGGACAAGCCAGAAGCCGTGGCCTTGCAACACAGCATTGGGCAGATAGCAGAGAGTTACCCCCAAGCTCTGGTTTACGCCCTCATGATCAGCACGGAGAGTTTCCAGTTTGAGGACACGGCCACAGGACACCAGCAGAGGGAGTTCGTGGACAGGTAACCTTCGTATTGTTCCCGTTTCACGTCATCAAATAAACCGCGTTAAGACGTGTCGTTTTAGTGCGCGTCGTTTCTGTGCACCTAGGCTCAGGGGCGTGCTCGATAAGGCAGGAGCTGTGAGGAAATTCGTGGATGCGCTGCAGCAACTCACCAACCCCGAGATGATTTTTAGGGTAAAAAGTCTAGCCGTGAATAACCGCAGTGGCCTGCGGCCGTGTTCTGCCCGTCATTCGGAGTGTCATTGATTTCACGCAGGACTGGTGGGATTACGTGAAAAACCAAATGGACAAACCAGGTTTTGACAAGAAGCAGATGGAGCGCATGTACGATGAGATGCGAACCTCGCTGGGGGACGACGCGGTCGGACATGGAGCGTTTCGCAAGAAATTTATCCAGGTTTGAAGGGACAGGTTGCTGTTAATATTATGTTATTATTTCCTGTTTATTTATTTAACAGTCTAAATTATATGTACAATGGTTGATTTTAGTTTTATTGTAAAAGTTAGCATTAGCTCAGTGGAGCATTATTTGAAGGGACAGGTTGCTGTTAATATTTGTTGTTATTATTATGTTATTTCCTGTTTATTTATTTAATATGGCACGCTGGACATAAGTGTACCACTGCTGTAATGCTTGGATGATAACAAGCCTCCAGTCACTAGGGGGCAGCAACTCATACAGTGGGTTGTACAGATATGAAATGCATATCTGTCCCCAAGTGGGGGCACGACAGAAAATAATTGTGCCTTTAATTTGACAGAGGTTTGCTAAAGATGTGGAGAAACTTCTGGGATCCAAAGGCGGCAAGTTGTTCGAGAAAAGGAAGGACAGAAACTTTGTCCAACAGGTGGAGGAACTTGCTAAAAACATGCGTGAATTTCAGAGAGAGCCGGGAAACCTGAAGGAATACTCGCCCTGGCTGAGCTCCTTCAAAGCAGACGCATTCAGCAACGAGCTGGAAATCCCAGGTCCGCGTCTGCGAGATGTTTACTCCAGAGATAAGGATTCTCGGAGCCTTTTCACCGTCTTGTTTTTGTCAATTCTTTAGGTCAGTACGACGGCAGATCCAAACCTTTGCCCGAGTACCACGCCAAGATCACAGGCTTCGACGAAAGGGTGCGTTTTTAACGGTAAAACCGAAAGGAAGTGTGTTGTCGTATTCTGGTGCTGAGTCATCGTTCGCCGCAGGTGAAAGTGATGTCTTCCATTCGCCGTCCCAAACGTCTGATCATCCGCGGCGACGACGAGCGCGACCACCCGTTTTTGGTGAAAGGCGGAGAGGACCTGCGCCAGGACCAGCGTATCGAGCAGCTGTTTTCTGTCATGAACATTTTGCTGAGTCACGACTCCACCTGCGCACGCAGGGGCCTGGAGCTCCGCACCTACCAAGTCATTCCTATAACCACCAGGTAAAGAGTCATGGGCTTCAGTTCAGCTTATCAAGAACACGTATCAAACTCGAGGCCCGGGGGCCAAATGCGGCCCGCCAAGCTGTTTTGTGTGGCCCACGGGAGCTTAAATAGTATGTTTTATTACACAGAAATTGAACAATATTTGTAGCTTAAATATAAATAATAATCAATTGTAGAAACATATTAGTCTGTTATGGAGTAGTTACATCTATACCAGTGGTCCACAACCTTTACAGTTAGTTAACCTAAATTAGTAAAAATCCAGTACATTTTTTCCACTGTGTCCCACTGCGGCCCAGTAGCAAATGACCTATGGACCGCTACTGGTCCGCGGACCAGTGATTGGGGACCCCTGATCTATGCATTCTTCTTCTATGTACAACAGGATTGGTCTGATTGAATGGATGGAGAACACCTCTACTCTGAAGGAGTTCCTGTGCAGCACTTTGACTGAGGGCGAACAGAAAACTGCACAGAGGTACAAGATATACTTCATATTTTATTGAAGGGAAAAATTGTCTCTGGTAGCTTTAAAAAACCTAAAACACACTTCAGTAGTACATTGACTAGAAATACTTTGTATAAATCCCATTCAGATTATTTAACTTTACAGGTTATTTTTCTGTTGTTTTTTATTTTTTTTTAAGGTGTGCCGAAGTCTACAACAAATGGCTGGCAAGCTTGGATCCAAAAAAGTCGGGGATTGCCCTGTACGGCGTGGCTTTCAGGTACGGTCCGTCGCTTTTATGATACATGTTCATGAGGCTCTAACTGTTAATGTTACTCACGTTTTATGTGAGTCACTTTATCAAGCAGCCTCGCTTTAAACTCCTTTTAAAGGTAAAATACATGCATACATTTAATGCTGTGAATTAGTATGTTAGCGTTAGCATCATGCTATGTAATGTTTCGTTTTTAGAGTCACTCAGGACCAAGTGACCTGAGCAAACAAATGCAGCGTTTTTCACAACACATTTCGTCCTGTGGGTGCATTACTGCCACCTAGTGGTAAAAAAAATGACAATATCCTGATGACCTGTTACAGAAAATAAACCTGTGGGTGCATTACTGCCACCTAGTGGATAGAAATGGCAATATCCTGATTACTTGCAACAGAAAATAAAGAACAGAATACAATTATAAGCCGTGCTCATCTTTACAGGATGCGACACTGTCAGGAAGCAAAAATGACATTTTGTAATAATTCTATGATTTGTTTTGAATAAGTATCGTATCTATTAGATTTAAATAAGATCGTACGTGAACACATTTACTTTTCTCCAGGAAAGCCAAACGCGCAGATACAGTCAACAACTTCGGCAAAGTGTTGCAGCATGTTCCCAGGGACCTGTTGAAGTAAGTGCAGTGCTGTGATTCGATGAGAGTGAAACGCTTGTTTTTTTTTTTTTTCCGACCAATCACCGTCACTCATTTCTTCTCCGAATCCTTGTGTAGGAGAGCTTTCCTGAAGATGTGCAACAGTCCCGAGGCCTTCCTGTCCCTGCGCTCTCACTTCATCAGCTCTCACGCGTTGCTCTGCGTGAGCCACTGGATCCTCGGTATCGGAGACAGGCACCTTTTAAACTTCATGATCAACATGGAAACGGGAGGCATGATCGGCATTGACTTTGGCCATGCGTTTGGTTCAGCCACGCAGGTCGGTTCCCTGAAACGACGCCACCTCATATACAGTACACCAATACACACCCAAACACACCGTTTTTTTTTTTTTTTTTTTTTTTTTTTTTGACTATATTCATTTGCATTTGTCATCTTTGTTGATACTCCCTCCCTGTATCTTGTTTCAACAAAAACATCTCTTCTTGCAGTTCCTGCCTGTTCCGGAACTGATGCCTTTCCGTCTGACTGGACAGTTTGTGAATCTCATGCGACCCCTGAGCGAATCAGGATTGGTCCAGAGCGTAATGGTCCATTCCCTGCGTGCCTTCAGGGCCGAGCCCGACCTTCTCCTCAACACCATGGATGTGTTTGTCAAAGAGCCTTCGTTGGACTGGAAGGTATCGTTTATACCGTTGATACCTCTAAAGGTTGGGTTTCAAAAAAATTGCAATGAACTGGAGAAAAGGCAGCGTTACTGGATTCGGCCTGCGAGCCACCAGTCGATGATCACTGGAGGTGTCATAGCTCGGAAGAAATAGGGCGATAGTTTTATAAAGCAAAGGAAACGGTTCAGTTTTTAAACAAAACATCTCGAAACTAACAGCGTCATCGGTACCGTGAATACACTACGGTACTACTTCACTGTGTGTGTGTTTGTGTACCGTCACGCAGAACTTTGAGCTGAAGCAGCTGAAGAAAGGAGGCACGTGGACCGAGGACGTAAACACCAAAGAAATAAACTGGTACCCGTTACAGAAGGTCAACTTCGCCCGAAGAAAACTAGAAGGAGCCAATCCAGCTACGATCACCAGGTAAATCATCCCAACATGTCATCATCGCATGACAACATCAGGAGTTCTGCCTTTTTTTCTATTAATCAAGGTCAGGATAGTAATAAAAAAAATAATAATGTTATACTTTTAGATAAGGTATAGTATGCAATATTTACAGTACACTAAAATACCTCCACTGAGTGTAACGTGGGTGTCAAACATATGGCCCATGGGCCAAAACCGGTCCACCGGGGGGGTTCAATCTGGCCCGCTTGATTACTTTTGAAAGTGAAAAATGCGCTAACACTTCGTGTTTGTGGTGTTTTGTCAATTTGCATGGAAACAATGGGGGGAAAAAAACATGGCCATAATGTCCTGCGTTTTGACAGTTTGCTCGCTAAACACAGCAGCTGTTTTTCCACATTTCTCGTTTTCTGTTCTTTAGTGAAGAGCTAAAGCTGGGCTTTGAGAAGGATCCTGCCTTCCAGGGAATGCAGGCCGCGGCCTTGGGAACGCCGGAGCACAACATCCGTGCAAAACTTCCAGCTGCAGGCCTGTCAGTGGAAAAGCAGGTGGACTGTCTGATCGACCAGGCCACAGATCCAAATGTTCTTGGCAGGGTGTGGGCGGGCTGGGAGCCAGGGTTCTGAATCTTGGATTAGGAGAGGAGTTCTCATAGAATCAGGTGGAAATGTGAAGGAGAGGATACTACTCATTTTCAAACGTATGCGTCTGCGATCAGTGAGTGGAATATGAGTACTGTACGTTTTAATATTAAAAAACGGGGCATTTTGTTGTTTCTTGACCCAGAGGATACTACTCATTTTCAAACGTATCGGCGTTAGTGATTCTGAAACGTGGTCTGCGATCAGTGAGTGGAATATGACAACTGTACGTTTTAATATTAAAAGTAGCATTTTGTTATTTCTTGATCTACTGCTTCTATTAATGACATATACATTTTTAAAAGCCGTACAATATGACCACTACGTTTTGAGAAACGCGCTAACTCCACGAGGAAAAGAATTGTACATTTGGGAGAAAAATCGTAATTTTACTTGAATAAAGTCGTAAATCTAATACCTCGTCCTACTACTCCTCGCAGAGACCAATGCGAGAAATAATTACAATGATTATCGCTCTTTCCGATATGTACGTTACGACCGGTGGATTCTGGGACTTGTAGTCTTTCGAACGCAGACGAAGCCTTTTCAAGCAAGCGCACTGTACTTTTCCGGTTCCCAATATTTGGCAGGTTGATAACAACAATTATTTTAGTGTAAAATAAAGAATGAAAATAAAATCCCGCTTGTTTATTTTCGAGTGAAAACGGAGGAAGGAGAGGAAATAAATAAATTGTAAAAATGGTTAACTTAATTAAGATTTCAACGGTGAAGAACATTCTGGATTTTTTTTTTTTTATATTTTTGTTTGTAGTCTCATTCCGTGACACTGTGACAACAGCAGAAGCACGTTACCACATTATTGTCTGATGCCGAGCGGCATTGTGTAAAGCAGGAAACAGCGGCTTGACATTCTTACAAAAACCAAAGGTCATGTGGCGTTCCCTGGTTCCTTAGGTGTCCCTGGCCTGCAGCGTGTTTCTACACAACAGTAGTTGGTCAAAAGAGGCAATTTTGAGATAACAAAACCACAGATTAATCCATTAATCTTTTTTTAATAGATTATACAATCAAATACAAGGAAACAAGAGTTTAGTCGAAAGATGTCAAGTCCGATTTTTGACCAGTACTTTAACAAATGTTACCAAAACCAGTGTCACAACCACTTCCCCTTCCATTGCATAAAAATGTCAGTAATTCTTTTTTTTTTTTACCTCAGTCTTCAGGTGCCCAGCTGACTAACATTAAGGGGTTTTAAAGGTAGATTTTTCAAGTGTTGTTGTTACTTTTTTTTTTTTTTTAAAAACTTTCCCAAAAATGTCCCGTCATGATTAAATCATGAGCGACAGGTGTTTATTTAAGCAAAACTGAATACAGCGACAGGTGTTTATTTAAGCAAAACTTAACTTTTTTTTGTTCCTCTCTACATACACGCCTTATGTATCTTGCACAAAATTTTGCATAGAAACCACCGAGCAATATTAAAACACTGATGAGGTCACGTCAAAAGAAGCAGGAAGATAACCTTGACACATGGCTCATTAACATCATTTCTTGGTCACTGTCGGTGTAGTGTGATTTAGATTGTTGAGTTTTTAATCTGTGTATTAATTTGATTTTTTTTTTTTTTTTTTAACGTTCAACCCAAGTTTTTTTTTATTTTTTTTTTTTTTTTTTACGTTCAACCCAAGTTTTTTTTTTTATTTCCAGAGTAAAAAAAACAAAAACAGAAATTTGAACAGCGTTCTTCCACAAGTAAGTCTTCATTAGTGATCACCAAAAAAAAACAAAAGACAAAAAACCTTTAAAACATTACATTTGCATACAAAATGAGTATCAAGTTAACATATGTAACAACCCTCTGTGCTGACAGGGGATTAAACACCAACCCAGAGATTAGAACCTGGGTCGTTCAGATGCCATCGTCTCAACAGCCCTGCAAACGTTGAGAGAATAATTTACCTGCATATTCTGCTGTGTTAAATAACTGCATAAATAAACCAGCTATTCATCAAAGCCAGAGGCAAAAGTACCGAGTATAAACTGATATTTCATTATTGCGGGTCACTGTCGACTTCAGCTCGTAGAGCTCTAAGGATCATAATGCAGACTTCAAACGTTCCCGCAGTGCGGACCGAAAAAGGCAACGTGAAAATGTAAAGTCAAAGCAAAATACAAACCCAGTGGAATGGAACTAATTTTTTTGATTTTTATTACCTGAACCTTTATGTTACAAGGCAAGAGGACAAAGTTTATTATTAACTTCATTCTCGCAATGCGAGAAAAACTATTCCACTAGGTGGCAGCAGATGCTATAAAACCTAAAAAAAAGGCTGTTGAAGATCAAAAAAAAAAAAAAAAAAAAAGGCTGTTGAAGATTTTACAGAATGCCTTTCTTTAATTCCTGCGTGTAAATCAGTGTTCAACTAAACAGGCCCAGGTTTAAAAGTAAGTCAGAAATTTGGGATTTCAAATCAGAGACTTGACTTGACTTGAAAAATATACAGGGAATGAGTGGTAGGTTTTGTCCTTTTTTGGAGCGGTCCTTTGTCCTCCTGCCTCGTAAATAAGGTTAAACTGAATAAACAAATTTTAGGAGTTTATCATCCACTTCTCTGAAAACAGGGTTTGCGTCTCGTTTTGAGGTCTTTGGGATAAGGCGCAGAACTTCTTTCTTTTTTACATATTTCTTTAGAGCACACACCTGTAACGCACATAATGAGGACACGTACCGTTTCAGTTTGAAAATGTAGTGCATTCACTTTCTTTGTCTCCCCACATAAAAACATCGTATTCTCTTAAATTGTTTTTTTTTTTTTTTTTTTACATGTATGGTGTATAACTGCAGTTATTCGGACAGAAAAGCTACCAAAGTGCAAGATGCATAATTTGTATTAGACGTTTCTATGTGAACGTTAGTTTTTAGGGAAGGATCGTTGAGCCTTAGCCATTCAGTTTTGTTATTAATAACCTTGGGTTAGTGGAGCCTTTTCTTAGCTTAGTCGCAGCATTTAATATATTCTTTTAAAAACAAAAAGGCCTCAAACTGAAGCGAGAGCCTGTATTAGAGAAGAACAGGTCGTTCCTCTCAGACTTGGCTTATTCTAGATTAGTGTTTTGTAGCGTGAAAAGGTCGATTTGGATGCATTCAGCAATTCTTTTTTTTTTAAATGAAGTCAGTAAACTATTAAACTTCAGACCGATATAATGAATCATACACAGCCATTCATGCCAGGTGTCTCAAACTCCCGGCTCGCGGACCATTTCTGGCCCGCAAAGCACCCACATCCGGCCCACGATTAGATGCCAGTAATAATTAAATTCAAGTTTTATGTTAATGTAAATTATTACTACATAGAAAAATAAACTCCAGTCTAATTTTAGATTTTTTTTAAAATTATGTTTGTATGCAGGTTAGCCATACATTAAATTGCCTTTTTTTTTTTTACGGAAAAGCACTTACGGTAACTTGTATATAAAGAGAATTTCATGTTTTCTCTTACAAATTGCATACCTTAAATGCAACTAATACCATGGCTGTATAAAGAAATCAAACTTTAACGCCTGTTCGTTTGGTTTCAGGTTTGGAATTTCAGATCGTGCGTGATGTAAGTCAACACAGATCTTAAAAAAAAAAAAAAACACAGCTTGTGCGTTATCCATTCTCTAATTTGTGCTCCTGTTAAAAATGTTCAATTTTATGAATTCCTTCTTTAAGAACCCGTCTTTTTTTTTTTTTTTAAATCTGATCTTTGATTTAATGTAAGATTTGCGGGGATCTTGACTTTAACGCAAGTCACTGACTCGGGACAGGCTTCAAATGTCTTCATGAAAGTGCCAAACGGTTTCGGAGAGTTCGTCAATAGTCACAGACTCGTAAAAGTGGGGTTGAGAGAACTAACCCTGACAATCTTCCCCACATCTTAGTAACAAGGAGTTAAATTTATATTGTACAAAAAAAAAAAAAAAAAATCGTGGCTTTGTGTGCATAGCATTTATACTGAAGGCAAGACTCTGTGGGATTTAGTGTCATATACTCCAGGTTAAATCTTGGGTCTCCACCCATTTATGAACTGCATGAGTTTCTTCACCTGCAGCTTGCTCAGCTTGAAGTCTTCGGATAAAATCTCCTCGGTGAGCTGCAGGAGCAAATTCCCATCGATCTTCTCCGACACAAAAAGCGAGACGATGTCGTCGGGCAGGCCGATGAATCTCAGCGATTTCGACACCTCCTCGATGGAAAGGCCCGCCAGGACGGACGGAGGCTGCCACTGGGCGGCGGTGTCCGACGTGGACGGACAGTTGAGGCTCACCGAGCTGCAGATGGAATAAATGTCAGTGGTGCTCAGCTCCTGCGGAGTCGGCGAGGAATCCGTAGGTTCCTCTGTACCGTCACAGCCCGTCACTGTGGCCGACGCCACGTCGGGGCTTTTCTTGACCGAGTTCGATTTGGGTGTTCTTGGGGGCAGGATGGGGCAGGAGAGGCTCTGCTTAGTGTTAGACTCTTCTATGGGCTTGTCCCTGTACACGTCCGAATTGTAACTCGAGGATTTGGTGCAGACCTGGATGAGAGGCGTATTCTGCAACCTGAAGTCCTGGCTGATGTGAGCCCTAAGCTCTCGCCCGTCGAAGTTGACCAGGCTGGATGTGCAGGTCTTTGGGGTGCTGGGGGATCGTTTCCTGGGGTAACTGTAGTAGCTCCGACAGCTGGCTGGTGAAAATTCCTCCATGCAGCTGGATTCTCCGCCACTGAAGTTATTTGGCCAAGACAGTCTGGACATCCCCTCTGACGGCAGGGTACTGGGGGGCAGCAGATTTGTCTCGGTGCTGCTGGATTTGCCCCAGCTGCACGGGTAGCACGCATGGCTCTGCTCCTGTGTGTCAGCTGTTTCCTGTTCACACGCTCCGCTTCTGATGGAAAACACGCAGGGATTTAGTGTGTGTGTGGGGGAGGAAAAAAAAAAATCCATGTTTTACAAAAAAAAGTACTGAACACTTATACTCAGCACGGATGTAATTGGCTAAATCTAGCAGAAAGGTCAAATGACACACATATTCATAAGGAACAAAGAAGAAAAAAAAAAATCTGCCGTTTGCCTATGACACGCTTGATTTTACGCTACGACAATGAAACCGCTTCAGATCTTACATGTTGTGGAGACCAGAAGAATAATAGGACAGGGTTGGACTCGGAGACCGCGTCTCTTGTTGCCGGGGCTTCGACGGGATGGGTAATGTTGGCATCTGTTTCAGACCGCGTGGAGGGATGGGCGGGGCGTTCAACAGGCGACATTCTTCCTTCACCTAGGAAATGCATGCAAGTCGTCGTGAAACATACATTGAAAACACTGACCTTTGTCTATGTCAGACCTGGACAAACTACGGCTCGTGGGCCACATATGGCCCGCTGGGCTTCCTTGTATGGTCCACAAAACACTGGTACAAAGTAAGGTAAAGATTGATGTTTCATGCATTACAATTGAATCAACTGCAATTTCCGTTGACGCCACTAGATGGCGGCAGACATTAAATGTGCCAAATTATTTTTTTTAAAGTACAGCGGAACCTCGGTTGCGAAACGCTTCCCTTTTTGAACAATTCAGTACAGGAACAAAATGTTACACCGCAAATTGCCCCAGTTGTCAGACCATAATTCGGTTGCCGAACAAGCCAACAATTTCACATGGGCAGCACGTGATCACCGAGTGACTAAGTAAGGTTAAAAACAAAAACAGGGGTTCCACTTTATACGTTCATTCTTGTGCACCACCATCACCCCGATTATTAAAAAAAAAAAAAAATGCATCACCAAACTCCCTCTCACTATATTAAAATATTTCACAACCCCTTCGCAAACCTTTGGCCCCACTGTCTAACATGGAGTGTTGAAGTCTTTATCTACGAGAAGAAGAATTCTTAGTTGACCTCCAGCAGGAACTAATGTCCACTGTGGTCTGCTATTTCGCAGGAAACATCTTGGCCAATACTATGGCAGGAAGTCAGATTGCATTTAAGCGTGTTTACTTAACCTTCATCAGAACAGTGGCTTGTAATATCACACGGCGGTGTCCCCGTGGTGTCGCAGACAAAGCAGCGCTTGTCGGACCTCCGGGGGACGACGAGGCTCGACTAATGAAGCGGGGGACATCACTGAGAACATTCGGACTGAGCGCGATCTGGTTGGGAGACGTGACACGTCCTTCCCGTCACTGTTTCAGTCCATTTGGCAGCACCTCCGATTGACACGTCGAGCTTTTCATGCCCCGCTGATCTGTGTACCTCCAGGACACATTTTCTTTCTGTCATCACACTTACGCTCTAGCAAAGCTAATTTATCCTTAAATTAAATTTTGAATAAGTGAAATTGGTAGGTCCATCCATCTATTTTCATCCGCTTATCCGTTACCGGGTAGCGGGGGCAGCAGTCTCCACGAATCACACTGCACCGTACCAACGCCCCTAAACCTTCCTGCAGGTGGTGAGTCCACTGGAAGGCACCAACCGCCCTAACTGGGATTCGATCTTGCCCAGGAGGTGAACCCTGGGGTTCCACAAAAACTGGTAGGTATGAGCAAAAAATGAATGCTGATTTACTGGGGTTCCACACCAATGGGCCACAAAACTGGTACGTATGAGCGGAAAATATGAATGCTAATTTATATTATTACCAGAGCTGTATTCATTTTCCTTTCTAGGTAAAAACATAATAATACTCACAGCTTCAGACTTCGGTGGAACCGGTGGAGGAGTGAGGGAGACATCCGAGCAGGTTACTGTCCCCAGAGGACAGCTGACTGGGTATGACAGGGCCGCCGTTGTGCAGCAGCCATTGTTGATGCCTCGGATTCCCTCGCTCGGTTTGGGTTTAGGGATTTGACTTCTCAAGTGATCCAACCACAGTTCCTCGTACGGAACGTCCGACTTGTTGAACGACGGCTGTTGGCTCGTGCTGTCCAGCAGCTCGGGGAAGAAATGCTCTTTTTCTCCCGAGTCTGAAGGAACGCAGTCGGAAGGCAGGAGAGCCCAGTCCCCGCAGAGCGTCATACACCCCTGCAAGTTGACCTCACTGTTTCCGTGCAGATTGCTGCCGTACACGCACACGGACAGTCGGTGGAAGGACTGGGTGAGCTCATCCCGGGCGTAGGTCAGAGAGCTGGGAACCTGCATGTGGGCGGGACACCCGTTGGAGCTGTTGCTGCCGCCGCTGCTCCCGCTGCAGCTCCCGTTGCCGCTGCCTTTCTTAGGGCTCTTCCCGTCATCGGCCCAGTCCACCCGCACGTCCCGGACGGCACGGGAGTAGTCGTCGATGTCAAACTGCTCCTGACAGAACGAGAACCAACGATGTACCATGGTGTCCAACCACAACTCTCCCTGCAGCAGTTCTTCCGGGACGATGAATCTCGGCATGGCCATGTGGAGGGGGAAATGCGCGGGGATGATTTTGTTGCTTCGGAGAACGCAGCAAACGACCACCGTCTTTGTCTGAATGTTAACCAATTTATAGCGGTGACCCTCGCGGATGAGGTGGAGGTCGTGCTGGTTGCGAGGCGGGGTGCTTGGTACCGTGACGTTGACCGGGAGACGCGTTTTCTCCACAATGTTCCGGATGGTGTGTTCGCCATCCTGCATCTGAAGCTCCAGTGGACTGCAAGTGCTAAAGCGGCCTTTACACTGGAAAGGCAGGCTGATGCTCTCGTTGGTGCGGTGGTTCATGCAGATCAAGCACGGCATCTTGCCCCGGCCGATCTTACTGATGGAGTTCAGTTTCCCGATCTTCTTGAAAATAGTGTTGAACCTGGATTTCTCCCTGGACGTCTTGGCGTAGAGGATCTCAGCTTGGCCCATCAACGTCAGCTCGTCGCCGGTGCTGAGGGTGATGTTATAAACCTCGGTGTCTTCGTTGCATTCCCCTGAAGCCATCTGTAAAAAAAAAAAAAAAAAGAAAAAAAATTAATGAAACCAGAAAGTACGAGCCACGAAGATGATCCGTGAACTCGTTTACACTGGGATTTCCTGCTCTAACCGGATCGTTCTTGTCTACAGAATCACCCTAATAAAAGGATAATGAGTGCGCAGATCAAATATTATCTCGTCGGCGAGTCAACAGTAGATATTTAAATCGAAGTGCAGTGACAATTAAAATGAAACCCGGGATGAAACGACAGG